AGAGCGTGGAGCGGCAAAGACGCGACACACGAGTCACCAATCTCGCGGCTTCTCCATGCTCACAGGATACGCGTGACCTCACTATATTTAAGAAAAATAAGAAACTGCTCGCAGTCTGTATTCTGTTTAACTATTTCATAGGAGTGACGCGAGTCTCTTCAATTGAGTGAGAAAGTCACAAACCCATTCTTTGCCTAGCGAGCGTAACCACAGACCACTCATGAATTGCTCCCTTGGCGCGGAAATCAGTGAAATCGTATCGAGTATACAAAGTTAGAGCGAGTTCCTTTAGACCTCCCGAACTCGTATCGCGTTGGCATCAATTATAAGTACAGGAAGAAGTCTTAAAATCTGCTAGATAAATTTGTTTCATACTTTCTGAGAAGTTAAAGAAATTCGGGAGCTTTCCTACAAAGAAACTAAAATGGTAGGTAACCGACTTAGTTTTTCAGATAATTTACAATAACTGAAAATTTGAGTGTCTGTTTGTGGACCTTACGTCTTGCTCAACAGTATAGTTGCAAAGATGTTTATAGTTTGCCCACACGATTAAGCTCTTCTCTTGTAACCCGTCATCGTTTCACAAACACCACGGCAACGGAAAACCTTTCCAAGCCTCCTTAAACACCGTTGTTGTCCAACCACACCTGCATTGTTTTTAACAGAGAACACTTGCGTTCCATGTATTTGCCCAGTGGTTTTTTTGATGACATTCAGACCACACCTCATAAACTTCGTGATCCCTCGTGGACCCCAGGTCAGAGGTTAGCAGAGAAAGTTTGCTCCAAATCTCAACACGAAACACACTTATAAAGAATTGTAGAGGGTAACTGAAATGAAAAAGAAAAGGCGTCCGGCATAGCAGTCTTTCAAATTTGTTTTTAGCCAACAGGAAGTCGTGCAGAGGGATGGGGCGAAAGCAACCAAAAATTAGGAGCAGGCCGAGGGGAGGAGCTTATTCAGCCGGCCTTTTCCATGTTTTTTCTATGTACAAGCGTGGTACACCAAGTATTCGGTTTACTTATAAAACTGTTTGTCGTTGTCGTATGAAAAAAAATGGACAATAGATTTGAAAATGAAAACGGAATAGGAATATAGAGGCAAGACCGATACAACGTAGAAAAGTTTTAAGACGGAGCACTATATTTCGGCTGGCCAAACTAGCCTTCTTCAGGTGCCTGAAGAAGGCTGAAGTTATTCTGGTGCCTGAAGACGTTGTATCGGTCTTGCCTCTATATTCATATTTGTTTTTTTGGGCCGATTAGATCATGGCTGATCCAAGGTACAAGACTAGGATAATCGCTAACGGTTGCATGCTGAACATTTCAAAAAGAATAGGGTTTAGTGATAAAAGGTCAGATCGATTAAAGGTATGAGCTGAGACTAAAATGGTTCACTTAACAATTTTATGTCGAGCTTATAAGTGGGAAACACAAAAGCCGTAAAAAGCCGGAAAGCCGTAAAAATCTTGAACAAAAGCTCATCTTTCAAATCGGCAGCCTAAATCCCACAGGGATCAACGAACGCTTTTCATTCCACTAATTTATTCATGTTTTTCTCGTTGCCATGCTCCCACCAATAACGTAGCTCCATTTTCTGCCTTAAAAAGCACACACAACCCACAATTCCTCTATTCGCTCCGACGAAGGGCTAACGCTCGAAACGTCAGCTTTTGTAATCATTACGGTGGCCAATTTACCATTTCAACTTTGTTGATATATCCAAATTATTTCGTTACTCCCACCGACGCAGCCCCAAACAGTTTCTTTCGAAACTATCAGCCTTTGTTC